CCTTGTCATGGATTGATTGAATTATATTCCCCCAAAAATGTATCAGTTTGGCTGGGTCATGATTCCCAGTATTGTATGATTGTGTAATCTGATGTGATTTCCTTATGTGTTGTAAATTCCATCACTATGATCTAATAAGATGGATTAGTGGCAGTTATAATGATGAGATCCAGAAGATTAGATAGTGTCTTAAGCCAGTCTCTTTTGAGATATAAAAGAGAGAAGCAAGCAGAGACACATGGGAACCTTATACCACCAAGAAAGCAGTGCCGGGAGCAGAGCCTGTCCTTTGGACCTGGGGTTCCTGCTCAGTGAAGCTCCTGGACCAGGGGAAGATTGATGACAAGGACCTTCCTTCAGAGCTGAGAGAGGGTCTTCGCCTGGAGCTGGTGCCCTGAATTTGGACTTGTAGCTTACTGGACTGTAAGAGTATAAATTTCTCTTTGTTAAAGCCATCCACTTGTGGTATTTCTGTTGTGGCAGTACTAGATGACTAAGACAGTCCTCAAAGTGACATCTTTGCTTTTGGTAGGAAAAAGAATTTCTTTTCTTTGATTGTACAGTTTCTATACCTTTCACCCAGTGAAATGTTTTATGTAGATATGTCTTCCAAAGGGAACTGCTATTCTAATGAGTGGATTAAAGGAGTCACAACTTACTATAAAAGCAAACTAGACTTAAGAGACACTAGCGTCTTCGTTCATCTGCAGAGGGAGGGCCATGATGTCTCCTTTTGCACTCATGTATGTTAATTTAACTTTCAAGGTTCAAGTTTTAAAAAGGTGTTTCCATGCCATGCAGGTTCAAGATTCATGGTAAATATAGCTCACAGGACAATTATGGGAGAATAAATAAACAAACAAAAAAACCAAACAAGCCCGTTGTTGTCAAGTCGATCCCAACTCATGGGGACCCCATGGGCTGCAGAGGAGAGCTGTGCTCCAGAGGATTTTCATAGCTGTGGCCTTTCTTCCGAGGCACCCCTGGGTGGGTTTGAACCGTCAGCCTTTTGGTGAGTAGCTGAGCGCTTAGCCGTTTGCACCACTCAGGGACTCTTAAGGGGAGAATAGGTCTGCTCTATCTGGAAAAAATCTTAAAACCCAAACTTGTTTGAACCTCATGATTTCACTTTCATTCTGGTGTTTTTCCTTCTGACGTGCTTCTCCAGTGAAAGATTTACGTTCGTTGTCTCCATTTTCTCATCTCCTGGGCCCCAACTGTTTTCCCCACCAGTCCACTGCAGAACGCAGTTCGGAAAGTTTCCAATGACTCCTGGCTGCCGCGGCCAGCGGTGCTTCTCAGCCCCATTCTTCATGGCTTCTCTCTGTCGTTTGGCACAGAAGACTGTTCTCATCTTAGGCATTCTCTTTCCCTGACATTGAATCACTATTTTTCTGGTTTTCTTTGTGCTTTTCTGACTATACTTTTGGTTGTTGTCTTATCCAACCACAATATAATTCCTTTAAAGGAATCCAGACATGAATAGCATAGCTTAGCAGTTAAGAGGAAGGGCCTTGGAGTAGGACTACCATGGTCTACATCCCACTTCTGCCCGTTAGGTTTGTGAACCGGGGCAAGTCCGCTGCTCTTTTCCTCATCTGTCATGTGGGCATGAAACTATGTCTACTTGTTGGATTGCTGAGTGCGTTCCATGGTTTAATGCTTAAGAGCCTAGCATGGTGCCTGGTATAAAAATATCAGAATTCCTGTGAGGTGCATTCTCACGTCTTCAGCTGTTATCTTTATGGAGAATGCACAAATGTAAATCTTTAGTCCTGATTTATTTTCTAAGCTCTGGCCCCGTATTGCCACTACCTTCCAAACTTTTATACTTGAATTCATTTATCCTGTGTTTATTCAATTTACTGTGACAGCAATGTGTTGTATGTTGGAGGAAATACAATTTCTGCCTTGTATTCATTTTCTATCGCTGCCATAACAAATTACCAAAAACTTAACATCTTAAAACAACATGAATGTGTTACCTCACAGTTCTGTAAGTCAGAGGTCTGACATGAGCATCACTGGGCTAAGCTTTGGGGAAGAATCTGCTTCTGCACTCATTCAGGTTTCTTGCTGAATTCTGAGGTCTCTGTTTCCTTGTGGCTGTCAGGGAGAGGCCGGTCTTTGCTCCTGGAAGCCATCCACATTATTCTCATGCTTTCTCTGAGCTCCTATAGGCCACCGTCCGCTCTCGCATGTGGACCCTGCATCTCAGAGCCAGCACGGCACTCCCTCTGGTGCTCCAATTTCTCGGGTTTCCCTTCTGCTGTGTCACTTCTGCGCTTCCACTTTTTCTAGCAGGAAAATTCTCTGCGTTTTAGGGTTATTGTGATTAGACTGAGGCCACCCAGATATTCCAAGATAATCTGCCTGGTTTAAGATCGGTGCCTTAATTTCATCTACAAAGTCCCTCTTGCCAGTAACAAATTCCAGGGGTTAGGATATGGATGTTTTTGGGGGAGGGCATTATCTGCCTATCAAAACCCAAACCAAACCCTTCGAGTGGATTCCTAGTCATAACGCCCCTGTAGGACAGAGTAGAACTGCCCCACTGGGTTTCTACGGCTGTAAATCTTTACAGAAGCAGACTGCCACATCTTTCTCCCGCCGAGTGGCTGGTGGGTTCAAACCGCTGACCTTTCAGTTAGCAGCTGAGCACTTTAACCACTGTGCCACCAGGGCCTTTCTTCTGCCTACCATCAAGAGCTTGGCATCTGGTTGGGAGATAGACAAGTGATCAAATACAACCACCTGAGGGTTAGAGATGCTGCGATAGAAGCTGGTGCTGCGTATAGTGAAGAGCAAAGGAGGGAAGTGGTCAGTTTTACTGAGAGAGAAAGTGACGTTTGGGCTGAATCCGGAAAGATGAGTATGTGTTTGGTAAGTGGCTGGGGGAGCATTCAAGGGAGAAGAAGCAATAATAGTAATAATAAAAAAAAACCCGTCAAGTTGATTCCGACTCGTAGCGATCCTATAGGACAGAGTAGACCTGCCCTGTAGGGTTTCCAAGGAGCGCCTGGTAGATTCCAACCACCAGCCTTTTGGTTAGCAGCCGAGCTCTTAACCACTGGGCCACCAGGGTTTCCAAATAATAGTAATAGCAATGATAATAAGTGGCTGTACTAAGCACTTTTACTATCTCACGGAAATCTTCACAAATGGTAGGTACCATTATTATCCCCTTTTTACAGATAAGAAAACGAAGGCTTAGAGAGGTTAAGAAATTTGTCCTCTGGAGTCCATGCTTATACTCATACCCTAGTAGTACTTAATATGTTTGAGCTATAAACGTTTTCATATTTAGAACGGGAATGGTAAAATTACCTCACTGGATTCTGGAAAGGACTAACGTTGATTACACGTGGATAAAGCACAGCACATTGTAAACCCTTAATACATGGTTGGTGAAAGAGAGTCAAGGGTGGGTAAAAGAAATGCTTAGTGGGCAGAACTGACTGGACTTGGTCATTGACTGATTACGTAGGCAGGGGAAGGGGAGAGTCTAGAGTGATTTAGGGGGCTCTTTGGTTTGGGAGCTTACATGGTTGGTGGTGCTATTCGATACCACAGGAGGAGAAACAGGTTTTTTGTTGTTTGGTGGAGGGAGGGCTTTGGAAGGAGGAAGGGGTGAGTTCAGGAGATAGCTGTGGGAACATTCAACTGAAATTAAATGGAAATGTAAATAGTATAGGTTAAGCACTCAGAAGAGAGGTCAAAAATGAAGTTGTCACTGTTGCCTCAAATCCATCGTGTCTAAAATGGAATTTGCCTTCTCCTCAAACTGGTTCCCATCTTAATTCCTCTGTTTCTCTTAGAGATACTATCATTCTTTTATTTTCACAAATTTGACATCTTTTTTTCATCCTTGACTCCTGCCTTTCCTTACCCAGGGGTGGGCTGGTAAATGTTGAACACCCAGTTCTCTGGAAGGAAGAAAAAAGCCCCAATTTGTAGCATTTGCTGATTCCTGTGGTGTAAATGCTCCGACCAGGGTCAGTTTCAGGCTGTGGCTGCTTTTCTGCCACAACAGCTGAGCCGAATAGTTGCAGCAGAGATTGTGTGCGCCTGCGAAGCCTAAAAAAGGTCCCATCTGCCTTTTATAGAAGAAGTTTTCCCACCTCTGCTACAGTGTCTCCAAAATAATAAAAAGTTGACATGGTGGGATACTTCCCTACCTCTGTTCACTCCTTCTACCCATCAAGATGCAAGGGAGAAGTGGGCAGCTCAAGGGGGCGGTGTGCGAGATCATGAAGGGTCTTGAGACCATTTTATGAATTTAGGCTTTTTCTGAGTGAGATGGAGGAGTGATATGATCTAACACATTTTAAAAGGAAAATCTTGTCTGGTGTTTTGAGAATAGATCATAAGATGCAGGCAGGGATGTCAGTTGGGAGACCCCTGTTTTAATCCAGGTAAGAGGTGGTCTTTGCATGCATCCAGGTGGAGTCAGCCTTGGAAGGGGTGAGGCAAGTTTCAATTCTGGATACATTTGGAAGATGAGCCAGCAGGATTTGCTGATGGAAAGACAGGAGTCAAGGATGAGTCCCAGGAGTTCGTACCGAAAGGATGCCTTAGGCTAGAGCCTGAGTTACTGGGATCACTGAAGTTACTGGGGTTTTTGGGAAGCAAATGGGACTTCAGCAATTCCTGTAAAGATTTTTTTTTTTTTTACCACTCCCTCCTAACCGTATATGTTCCATGAGGAAAAATTCTTTGTTTAAAGTAAAATTTCCTTTACTTTTATGAAATAGATTTTAAAATAAATCTAGGAAATATTATAATATTTCTAAAATATTTTTTTTTTTTTTAAAAAAAGGAAACAGTAATAAAACCTATTTTGAATATGACTATTTTAAATCTATGATTTGGTAGCTTTAGAAAAAAAAATTGGCAGGTCAATTCTAGCATCTCCCCAAACCTTAAAGTTTAGTTTTAAAAGTTAAGAGTTAATGTTTCGTTGTATTGTGAGTAAAGTATTATTCTTGTCTTTTATGTAGGTTTTACTTGTAATGGACACGAGGACAGAGCAGACATTCATTTTAAAAGTAAGTTGAATTTGTATGTTTAATGAATTAAACATTTATTTCAAAGTATGCTTCTGAAAGAAAATACGTTTTACTCTGCGTGTTTTGCATGCTCTCTTATGTTTGTGGTGATCTGTATGTGTGTGTGTGTGTGTGTGTGTGTGTGTGTGTGTATATGTTCTCCCATCACAGTTGATAAATAACTCTTATCACACACATCTAAAGAGTCTTATATTATAGAGAATGGAGGTAATAATTTGGATAACTTGAAAAATCATTTAATGCTGTTTAAGTGTGTAGTTAAATACATCTGAAATACATTTTGTATAATTTGTGAAGACCACACACAATCTCATCTTTGATTATGATTGCATTTCTTAAGAGCCTGAAATTTTGCTTTAAAGTCTTTGTTATAGGCATTTGGCAGAGTGTTATCTATATCCTTGGCCCTCTTTTTGATCTAAATTCAATTTTGATTCTATTTATAACTGAATTTATAACTAAATGAATAGGAGAGAAAAAACCGTCAATTTTCTAATTTCAAAATTGTGTTTGAAATGGAGTCTGACTGGACATATTCTCAAAATATCCTAATTTAAGCATTCCCACGGCACCCAGAGGTAGTGGTTAGTTTTATATTTCTTTTTGTAATACTTTTTCTTTGGCTTCTCAAGATGGTGGTAGGTGAGACTGGTACTTACTGAAACACAGTTGTTTTTGTAAATAGACCTCATCACTCACATTTCCCCGGTCTTTTAAACCAGGTTTGACACCAGAAATGACACATACTTTGTTCCTTTGCAGAGAACTGAATAATCTTTGTACTTTTTTGCAATAGCAAATTTAAATGGCCTGTTTCATGTAGGCATGTCTTTTGTGTCTCAGGAATTTGAGTTGTTCTTACAATGTCCACTGCTTTAAAGATTCACGTAAGTAAAATGAAACTCAAGAAAAGGTCGTGGAGAAATAACTGTGTGTCATCCTGATGACTTAGTTTGAGAGCTTCTCTAAGAGAAACACTGACCCACGTAATTGATTTTAATGGCAGCTCTGTGGCATCTTCCGTTCTCTGGACTCACGCCAGATGCCATCAGCACAGCCTCCAGGGACCGAGGGGCACAGAGCAGCAGATGAGCGGCCTCTCTGAGGCCCAGAGTAACTCGGATAGATTAGTTTGGTTGATAAACACAGAGCACAGCAGGCTCCAAAGGCAACTGAGGGTACAACTGACCTTTTTGTTCTCTGCCAGGGTCTAAGGAGAAGCAGTGAGTACCGCGGGAACAGAAAGACCATCATCCCCCGCTGTGTGCCCAACATGGTCTGTCTGCACAAGTACATCATCTCTGACGAGTCCGTATTTCTTGTGCTGCAGCATGTGGAAGGTCGGTGTGAGCCGAAATTGTTTACGCAGCGAAGAATGTCTCCTTAGTGTTTCCGTTTGTATAATAATGTCCTCCTTACTGTCGCTTCTTGAACGGATAAAGTGTAGGAAACACGTGTGAGATACTGTTTTCTTATTCCTCTGCTCTGCCTCCCTGCCCTGAGGTGTGAGGGGAAGTGAAGACCCAGATGAGCAGCAGATTTTGTTTGAATTAGAGTAACATTTCCTAAATATATTTAACTACTTCCTTTCTCTCAGAATTGATGTAATAGAATGAGAACCTTAACAAGAACAAGTGCTAATGGAGCTATGTTTTATTTTAGGGATTTTATTTTGTTCTCTTGGTCTCTGCTAAAAAGATACATTAATGTTAGATGACTAATATAAAAAGCATCCCCTGAAGAATTAACTAATTATCTCCCTTTTTAGAAGGCAAGGGTCTTTGCTTAACATTTGACATTACCTAGTTATTCTGATTTGGGTTTTAACTAACACAGCCAGTGGCATCCCATATGGATGCAAAGCAGAAGCACAGTGCTCTGCCTTCAAACTATTTATGAAATTTCAGCTCTTAGTGGAGGGAACAGATGGCCAAAAAAAAAAAAAAATACTATGTTTTGATTTGTTTTTGCCTTTTAACAGGTTATTTTAAATAAGTAGTCTTTTATTTAGAATGACTGAGTGCAGCATGGAAATATAAATTCACTTAATAAATATTGGCTTTTGGCTTTTAAGAGGTGTTCTTAAAATAGTAAAAAAATTCATGATTTTTCATATTTCTTGAAGATATTATTATTATTTTACATTACTGAGAATAAAGAACTGTTGTGCTTTACTAATAGGCGTAACGTACGAATTTAATGCATTTTCCCAGGGAAAGGAGTGATTGCTTTTTGGAATGAGGTCTCTTTATGATAACTAATGCAAGATTTTGGACGGGGCAATAAACTATTAATATTGTTTATTATGAAGTACAGCACAAGATAACTACAGATGGAGGGAAGCCCTCCATATGCAGTGTTTAATAGGAAATTCAGAAGGGGCTCTGTGGTCTCTCAGGTATTAAGAGAGTTAATTGCGTGTGTGAATTGGATAACTAATTCACCTTTGTTCAGACATTATGGACAGCTTTTATCTGAGGATACCAGTGCATTACAGACATTATTGAATTAGAGGTCATGTCATCTGATAGCGAAATACAGCCACCTCTGGTGTGGAACAAAATAACTTGCGTAGTAATAATCCATAATAATTTAGAACAAGGTCAGTAGGATGAATGTAATTATAGTCAATATTCTATTACCCAATGTGGATTATTCATGTCGGAGATTATCTGTGGTAAATTTTCAGCCCTAGCTCGCCGCTGCTACTTACAGCTTCATCTTCCTTTTCCTTCTCCAAATCATACTTCAGTTTTTCTCCTGCCATTTCCTCATCCTCCTTACACCCCCTAAGCTGGTATTTCAACAGATTTTGCTGTAACACTGTAGTAGTTTTATATAATCTGTCTTAGGGTCAGACACCCGTGGCTCTCCAGTTGTCCAGTTTCGGATCCTCTTTACCAAGTCTCTTTTCCTTTACTTTTGACCACATTTAACTTGGAAATGTGACATGACCATAGACTTTGTCCTGGATTCTTTAAATCTGAGGTGGGTGGAGATCTCTTTTGACCATTTGATTTAGGTGTCTACTGTTTGAAGAAGGTTTTATAATAGACAAGTATTCAATTATGGTGTAGATGGGAACTCTGGACTGATCTAATATTCAATAAAGTTATCAAGCCTTTGGTGTGTACTAGGCCCTGTTTTAGGTGAACAAGCAGAAGCAGCGTGACTGTTTGACGCCTGTATTCTTGTTGTGAAGATTCAAACAAGCAAACAAAGAAAAAAGCAAGGGGATATTGGATAAGAACAGGAGCTATACTTCACCCCAGGAACTCTAATAGAGAGCGCCGGGGAGCCGCTGTAGATTGTTAGTCAGGGAAGCCCTTTCTGAGGTGACTGTAAGCAGTCTTGAATGACAAAAAGAAGACAACCATTTTATACATAAAGGGGAAAAGCACATTCTGAGTAGAGGGATCAGTGCTAGAGATCTAAGGCAAAACAAACTCGGATATTGAGTGAACGAAGAAGGAGACCATTTGGTCGGGATGTAGTAGGTGAGAACAACAGTGGTATATGAGGTGACTGGAGAAGCAGGTGGGAGCCTTGTATGGAAGGATAAGGATTTGGCTTTTTTTCAAGTGTTTTGGGAAACCATTGAACATCTTAGGCAGTAACAGGATCTGATTTACATTTTAAAGAGATGACACGGGCTGTTGTATGGGAAGTGGACTGTAAGAACAGAAGCAGTGAGAAAGCTGATGTCTTAGTGAGAGATGATGATGCCTGCCTTCTGGGGGCACCGAACCAGTAGCTGTCGAGTTGATCCCAACTCATGGTGATCTCGTGCGTCAGAGTAGAGCTGTGCCCTGTCGGGTTTCCAATTGCAGAATTTTCAGAAGTAGATCGTGAAGCCCTTCTTCCAAGGTGCCTCTAGGTGGGCTCAAACCTCCAGCCTTTCAATTAGCAGCTGAGCACATTAATGGTTGGCACCACCCACGGACTGCTTTGGTGGATGTGTTCTGGGAGTAGAGTCAAGGGAACCTGTGATGGATTTGAAGTTAGGGAGAGAAAGTTCTCAGGTAACCTCTAGGCCAGTGTGGCTGGAGCAGGGTGGGGAGAGTGACAGGAAATGGGCGAGAGAAGTGGGCAAGCAGGTGGGCAGATCCTGGGCGGGCTTCTGGGCCATTTCAAGAACACGATTTTTATTCTCAATGAGATGGGCAGTCATTGGGGCATGCTGAGCAGAAGAGTGGAAAGAGGGATCATTCTGGCTGCTGTGTGGACCATAAATACACGAGGGCAGAGGTCAAAGCAGGGAGAACGGTTGGGAGTTTGTTGCAGCTACCCAGGGGAAAGGTGATGGTGGACAAGATCCTAGTGGTGGAACTGGTGAGAAATGGTCATTAGGTTCTGAGTGTATTTTGAAGACAGAACTGACCTGATTCTACCTTGCATGACTCTGAGGTGTTTGGTTCAAGCAACTGAGAGAATGGCGTTCCCATTTACTAACATGGGGAAAGCTGTGGGAGGAGCCGTACATTTAGGAGAATTTAGATGCTTATTAAATATCCAGGTGGTATTGAGTAGGCAGCTGGATATACCAGACAGGGTTTTAGGAAAGAGGTTTAAAATGTTTATTGTTCCTAGTACTAAATCCACGTACTTTAAATTGATTTGAGGAAGAAAAGGGAAAACAAAATGTATTCAGTCAAGGCCATGTGTCTTATTAAAACTTTAAATCCCTGGGATTAGGGATTATGTCATATTTATCACATATATCCCATCATCTAGCAGAGCGCTTGGCCCACTGAGGTATCCTGTGTGTACTTGTTGACTGCTGAGTCAGTCACAGAAAAGATGAAAGACCAGCTTGAAAGAAAGAGCTTGGGAAGGCCACTGAATGTGGACACACCAAATAAAGGGACGGGAAGAGTTTATCTCCAAGTTATCTAGGGGTAAAATGATTCTCTTTTATTAGCTAGTTTTTTTTTTTAATTATAAAATTAATAGATAAACAGATAAATTCAAACTATACAGAAGGGTATAAGGTGAAAAGTTCTCCCCCTGTTCACGTGATTCCCAGTCCTCCCCAGAGATAAGCACTCTTTAAACAGTTTGTTGTTTATCTTGCAAAAATTACCTGTTCATATAAACGTACACTCCTTACCTGTCTGGTTTTTTAAAGACATAAAGGGGTCTTATATGGTGTTCTGCAACTTAATTTTTTCCCATCTTGACAATGTACCTTGGATACCTTTCCTTCTCAGTATATGTCGGTCTGCGTAAGAGCGTAGTGATCAAGAAAATTGATTCTGGAGCCAGACTGCATGATTAAATGGGTTGGTGTGTATATATATACAGCATTTAGAATAGTGACTGGTACATGGTGAGCACTATGTAAGTATTTGCAAATGTTGCTGTTGGTTTTTAAAATATATACAAAGTATTTGTACAGACTGATCAAAATTTATTTAACTACTTGGCCTAATTGATGTTTATATTGTTTCCAGTACTTGTACATATATACCTTTTTACTTTTTTTTTTGTTTGCCTTTTTGAGACTTGTTTGTAAGGCAGATTTCTTGAAGTGGAATTACTGGGTCAAAGGATGATTTTGCTCATTGCTCCGGCAGCAGTAGCCACATATTAAATAGAAGACCTGCTTCTGGGTAGGGAGGGCAGCGGTGGCTCAGTGGTAGAGTTCTTACCTTCCACGCGGGAGACCTGGGTTCAATTCTCGGCCAATGCACATCATTTGCAGCCACCACACATCCCTCAGTGAGGCTTGTGTGTTGCTGTGATGCTGAACAGGTGTCAGCAGAGCTTCCAGACTCAGACTAGGAAGAAAGACCTGGTGATCTCCTTCTGATAACCAGCCAGTGAAAACCCTGTGGAGCACAACAGTCAGATCTGCATCCTATCGTAGGGGTGGCGCAGGACTGGGCAGCGTCTTGTTCCTTTGCGAGTGGGGTTGCCGGGATTCGGGGCTGACTCCACGGCAGCTGACAAGAACAACAAAAATTCTGACCGTGCAAATTAACAAACTGACTTTGTAATCTTGTAGAAAACCAAGAAATTAAATCTGCTGAGAAACAGAGAGAGAATTTTTATTAAACCTTATGAATTACTATTTTCATGGCTTCAAATGGTCCAATATTTGTATCTTTACATTAGTCAACATGGCTTAAAGGTGTCATTTATATTCTTAAAGTATTAAAAATTATAAGTATTTTAAGTATTTTCTGTTTATTTCTTGAGATTTAGCAACAACAGGTTTTTTCAAGTAAATATTATTGTTAAAGATTATAATAATAATGTTGGCATTGGTATAAGTTTTGTCTGTTAAGCCTGATTTTAACTCTGCAGGAAGTAAAAACTCATCCAGATTTTGTGAGTGAGAAAATCCACTGGGAATAAAACAGTGTGTTGTAAGTTATATACTTTTTCAAGACTTTTAATTTGAAAAAATATGTGATAAGACCCAACTTTTGTTTCTGTAGCTGCATACTGAACATTAGATTTAATTGGGTACTGAGCAAGGAATGCGAAAGAGCTAAGACAGGCTTTTCCCCTTGAAAATGCAGAGTTCTTGTAATTCACGGTAGGATATTTATGTTTAGGCTAGGAACAAACTCCGTAAAGAAAGTGCCAAGAGTCTCACTTAATTTTTATCTGATAATAAAAAGAATGGAAATTAAATTTAGGTGACATTTTTGATCGATCAAGTGAATAACCTTGATAATATCCAGTACAGGCAAAGCACGGTGAAGATGGCACTGTTACACGTGGCTCGCAGGAGTGGATTTTGGTACAATCTTTCTGTAAAGCAATTTAGCAGCGTGGATCAGAAGTGTTAAAAAGTATTCCTGCATGTTCAGTATTTTCATTTCTGGGATTCTGTCCTGATGAAATAATCAGGAATATCAAATATGTGCATGCAAAGATATTTATTATTTTAACTCTAATAGTAAAAGACTAGAAAGAAACGTCCAACAATAGAGGAACATTTAAATACATCATAATATCTATCACATGGATCTGCTATATAGCCATTCAAGTTCGTATTCTCTGGCAAATTAGAAAATGTCCATGCTATAATGTTAATTGTGAATAAAAAGCCTGAAAGTGTTTATCATTAGGTGGTAGCATTATGGGTGATTTGTATATTCTGAATTTTTGCTATTTTCCTATATTTTGAAATTTTTTATTATAAACCTTTATGTTTTAAAATAGAAAATATGACCCAAAAAGCATGACATTAATAGTACTTAATTAATGGTAAATTAATAGTACCTTTTCCTGAAAGGTTTGCAAAATTTTTATAAAGATGTCATTGTTTTATAACTCAATTTAATAAATATTTCTTTAATACCTATTATTTTATATGCTTGACAGAGCCTTTTACCTCCAGTTAATAAGACCCTGCAGTCTGCTGAAGGAGACAATAAAAGCATAAAAATAATATCACTATGCAGTAGATTGATGTGTGTATCCTAAGAGGGACGAAGTGCTGTGGAGGATTCAGAGAAAATAGGAATGGTATCCAGTGAGGGGTACAAAACATCTGGTAAAAGATAACAAATCCTGAAGGATCTTCAAGGATGGGTTTGATTGTGACAAGCAGATCCTGAGGAAACTTGTAGGAAAGAAGATTCTAAGTGGAGGCTGTAGTATGAGGAAAAGCTTGGTCTGGGTTATATGTGAGGAAATCCAGTTCAGGTGAATGATGTGGGGAGTAGCGGGAGAGGACCAGATCGCGGGCTGTGACTGCATCACCGAGTGGCTCCAATGCCTGCGTGGAGTTGGTGCTCCATTCAGTAGGCAGAGGGAATTTACTGTAGGTTCTTGACTGGAGACATGACATGGTGAGAGCTGTTCTAAGAAGGAGTCGTTGGGCAGCAAGTAGTGTGGTAGCGTGGTGCAGGAAGGACTTCAGGTAGAGGTCTGGTGGGAGCTCTCGCATGATCCCCAGAAACAGAGGAGGCCAGAGGAATTAGAAGAGGAGGATGACTGGGAGAAACGTTCGTTACAGGTAGATCCTTTAGGACTTGGAAAGTTGTTGAAGTTTAGGAAGAACAAGGGAGAGAAAAGAATCCTAAGTTTGGTCCAAAGCCAGAGTTGGTGCCAGAGTGACTCAGAAGTGAGAAAGAGGAAGTGATTTTGAAGGCAAAACTAAAGAATTTAAGCACATTGAATTTATACAGCTCACCTATATGGAACTGGCCTAAGAATGAATGAAACTTTTCTTAGAACTTTATTCGGTACTGTTTCTTGCTGGTCTCGGTAACTTTCTAGCTGCAGATACTATGTCCTGTGCAGTGAACGACGCGTCTCATTCGGATGGTTATCATCTGATTTAACGAGCGTGGACTGAATGCATATCATGTCCTGGACACTGCACGGTGTTGTTGTTGGGTGCCATCGAGTCGGTTTTCGACTCGTAGTGACCCCACGTGACAGAGTAGAACTGCCCCATTGCATTTCTTAGGCTGTAATCTTTATAGGAGCATACCACCAATTTGTTGTCCTGAGGAGCACCTGAGTGGATTTGAACCGCTGACCTTTTGGTTAGCGGCCAAGTGCGCGGACACTGTATAAAACCAAAACCATTGCCATCGAGTTGATTTCAACTCACAGCGACCCTATAGGACAGAGTTTCCAAGGCTATATAAGCTTTACAGAAACAAACTACCACATCTTTCTCCAGCAGACCGGCTGGTGGGTTTGAACCACTGACCTTTCAGTTAGCAGCCAAGTGCTTAACCACCGTGCCACCAGGGCTCCCGCAGATACTATATAGGCAGTGGATATACAAAGAGGAAAAAGACTTGGTCCTGTCCTTAAAGTAGTTACAATGTAGGAGAAATTGAAAACGACATGTGCCGTTTTTATTTGGATTGCGATCAAGAATCCTAGCTTCTGGTTCAGGCATTACTGTTAGTGCCACAGTGTAAGCGTTTGGGGTGTGATTAGAGACCAGTGTGGCTACTGTTGTCAAAAGAACTAAAAAAGATGGAATTGATGCATAGTTCCTTTTGTGAGCGAGTGAGTCTCAAAGCCATATATTAATCCTTAAACTTTAGTTTGAATATGGGGAAACAATCCAAAGGACTTCAGAAAGCATTAGTTAAGAAAAAAATGAGAGGGAGAGTTAAAAACTATGATGTCCTGTAGCACTACCTGTTATCACAATCAGAAGATGCTAACTTGATCACTGGGAGAAAGATGGAGGAGGATCCTAGGGTTAATGTCGTGACAGCGCCCTCTATTGGGCTCTTACTCTGTGCTAGAGACAGACCAGGAGCTTTACAGAATTACCAAATTTCTCTAGTTTTTCCTCTGAGGTGAAATGGGAAGTAGAAAAACATATTTGGATGCTTCCATTGACTTTTTACACATATAATTGACTGTCAGTAACTATCCCCTTAAGATTTAGTACCCTTGGCATAGATGCTTAATAATGATATTAAAAAATGTGTTGAAAATTTGGCCTTCTCCAAATTAGTAGAGGGATTTATTTTTAACACATTATTCTTAATTTCTCATTTTTGGAAGCTACAATTATATCTTCACAAAGTATGTTTCCTCAGTTACTATTTTTAAGATTTCTGGACCATATTCTTTTCTTCTCTTAACACTGTTTCTGGTCATGAAGTTGTGGTAGGTTTCTGATACTTATAGTTTATTTACTTAAAGATTTTAATGGTTGAGAAGGGGTTGAGATTTTAAATCAAAACAAAAGAAAAATGTGGCAGATATGGCAAAATAACTACATAACAAGTATTGCTGGTAAAATGCTGGATTATGTGTGTGGGTTGATTTCTATGATTTTAGTTTCTATAGGTTTCTGATATATATTGCAGTGGTTTGCTCATTAATGGGCTTTACTTGGTTTTATACAGTGTGTGTGTATGAAGTGGGAAAGAAAATGGAAAAAATATTATTAATATGTCATTTGTAAACGCATAAAATTATATGCCAGATACCACACCTCCCCTCCAATCCTCAACTAGACATTTTCAAAGTTGAATAATATTGCTGATTTTTCCCCAGTATAATACATAATTGTAAACACCACTTACTTAATGTATTTTCACTTGACTGGGGCCATGCTTGTAAAAATTATTATGTAAACAGATCAGAACATAATCAAATGTTTCTACCACTAGATTATATTTAACTTTAAAGCAGAACCTTTGCTGTGAGATTTCACGTTAACATTTGTTATAACTAATTTCCCTTCAAATGAAGAAATAGGTTGTCATTTAAAAAATAATTAATATCAGGAGATAGGATTGAACCCATACTTACCAGTTAGCAATTTCAGAAAAGGAGTTTTATTAAATATGCTTTTTTTACAGCACGCTTGATATTAACGGGTATCATTGTCCTGTTTCTGATTGATTATTAGAATACTCCTTGCTTTTCTAACGGCTTAAATAAGTAACAATAACTTTGGGATCTTCAGTTGGTTTTTTCTTCTTCTTTGTGCTTGTTCACAGGTGGCAAACTCTGGTCCTATATCAGCAAGTTTCTGAACAGGAGTCCTGAAGGAAGCCTGGACATCCAGGACGGGAAAAAGTCCACCCTTAGTCAAGTTCACCTGCAGCAGCCAGCTTCCAGCCCTCAGGACAGCAGTAGTTTTGAATCCAGAGGGAGTGATGGTGGAAGCATGCTTCAAGTCCTGCCTCTGAAGACTAGTCTTACTCCCAGCTCTCAAGAAGATAGCACTCAGGAGGATGCTGGCCAGGACAGCTCTCCAGAGTGGCCAGACTCTGGTTCCAGTTCAGAAGAAGAATGTACTACTAGCTATCTAACACTATGCAATGAATATGGGCAAGAGAAGATTGAGCCGGGGTCTTTAAACGAGGAGCCCTGTGTGAAGACAGAAGATGTCAAAGCTATTCAGCGCTTCCCAGCACCCCTTCCTGCTGACCCCGCCAGCCGCAGCACACAGCTGAAGTTCTTCCCTGAAGATGATAACCCAGAAGCAGTTAGCTCTCCAAAAACATCCGATTCCCTCAGTCGATCTAGAAGCAGCCCCATGGAATTCTTTAGGATAGATAGTAAGGATAGCACTAGTGAACCCCTGGGAGGTGATTTTGGAGAAAAATTGTATAGCCTAAAATCAGAACCTTTGAAACCATTCTTCTCTCTTCCCTATGGAGAGAGTGCTTCCAGGAGTTTGAATACTGGTGAGGGCAAGGCAGAGCTGAAAGCCCACGACACCATCAGCCGGGGCTCAAATGACTCAGTCCCAGTGATTTCTTTTAAAGATGCTGCTTTTGATGATGTCAGTGGTACTGAAGAGGGAAGGCCCGATCTTCTTGTAAATCTTCCTGGTGAACTGGAGCCAACAAAAGAAGCTGCCGCAATGGGACCTACTAGTTTTGCACAGGCTAATATAGGCCTTATGGAAAGTAAGCTGTTGGAAGCCCCCGATGTTTTATGCCTCAGACTTAGTGCCGAACAATGCCAGCCACACGGAGAAAAAGGCACAGAGGAACTGAGTGATCCCCAAAGGCCCAAATCCCACAGTGTAACAGAGAAACACTACGCACAGGAGGATCTTGGGATGTTTTTTGTAGCAGCTGTGGATCACGGTTGTCCGGGAGACATGCCTTTGTTACCCAGCCCAGATCCTAAGTTTCAAGGACTCCGAGTGATTGGGTCAGCACTAACTTCAAACAGCACAGAAGAAAGCTTATTCCGTCTTTCTAACCCGCTCTCAGGTGCTAATAAATATAATTCAGAAGAAGTGTTGCTGTTTACAGATCAGGCTGATGATTTGACTAAGGAGGAGCCCACTTCTGTATTCCAGAGAGACTCTGAGACCAAGGGAGAGAGTGGGGTAGCCCTAGAAGAAGACAAGGAAATACATCAGATTTTTGAGGACCTTGATAAAAAATTAGCACTAAGCTCCAGGTTTTACATCCCCGAGGACTGCATTCAAAGATGGGCAGCTGAAATGGTGGTAGCTCTTGATGCTTTACATAGAGAGGGAATTGTGTGCCGCGATTTGAACCCAAACAACATCTTATTGAATGATAGAGGTCAGGAACTTTTGCAAATGCATTTCTTTTTATTCGCTGTTGCTTCCAATTAACTGAGTAGGCGTTTTATCTTGTAATTAGTATCTTCATTTCCTGTCTAGAGCTTCATTATCAGTGCAGCAAATCACCCCCAGTAATAGCTTCTAGTACTTAATGATGCCATTATTCTTAATGATACTGTTTTTAGCTACAAAAGGAGTAATTACAGTTCACTTCTGCAGAAAATGGAAGAGAAAAATGTTTTGATTTCTCCTGTCGTTTTGTTTTTAGGACACATTCAGCTAACGTATTTTAGCAGGTGGAGTGAGGTTGAAGATTCCTGTGACAGCACTGCCATGGAGAGAATGTACTGTGCCCCAGGTTAGAGCGATCTCCTCAAACGTTTCACTTGAAAAAGTCGTTTGTCAGCTCCCGTTTCTTTGCAGAAGTTGTATTTTTCAGTAACACCTCACATGTGGGTTGGATTTAGTCGTCTCTGTAACTGTCAAAAGAGAAAATGTAGGGATAAGACATTATATAATGCATAAGTGTATATATGTATGTGTGTGTGTGTGTATGTGCACACACAGACATGCATATATGTCTGTGGTTGTTAAATGAGTTTATACTTTCCTTAAAACTGGCAAGGAATTCTGTCTTAGAAATATCTTAACTTCTTAGTGTTTGGAAAGACCTGTAAGTACCTTGAACCTCTTTAAATGATTGATTCTTAATTGACATGGGAGAGGTAGGTGACTAAAAAATTGCTAAGGTGAAAAATTTATAAAATGCGGCATTTTTTGTTTTTTTAATGCACTGTTGGTGACTTCAGTGATGAGCCATGTTCTGTGTTTGAGAAAGTTTAGGAAGCTTGCTCTTGTTTTAAGACAACGTTTTAGCCAACTATATGATAGAACAGGTTTTGCTTGCTCTTACTGCGTTGTCTTTTTTTTTCTAACTAGAGGTTTATTTCTGATTGTGTTGCCTTCTCTGCTAATGATCACAGCAACTTAAGCACATGTAGTGCGTTTGAGTTACTTTCTCTTCTGTCATCAGTGCGGATGGGGCCATATTTAAATCCAAAGTTCCTTCATCTTTTGCCTAGTATGCAGCCTCTTTGGATGGCCAAAGTCGCTGCATTCACCACCCCACTGGCCTTCAAAGGAGGGTCAAGCTGATGACGTTGGCATGACGGGCTTAGTTGTTGGTCGGTGCAGTTCTTAATGCTCACTGTTTAACCAGCACGTTACTGATGCTAACACTGTCCCCTGCAGAGTGGGAAATGATTGTCATTGTGATGGAAAGACCTGTGTTGTTTTCAGCTGCAGCCTTAATTTTTAGGAATTATTTCTGTATCGGGGAACAGAAAAGTTTTTCAACCTGCAAGCAAATATCCTAAAACTTTCTGAAAACAGCTATTTGGAATTTCTCCTTTTTGTTATGCTCTTCCCCTTCCCTCCTTCCCCTAGATTAGCACAGCTTGATTTTATTTCTTCTGAGGTGCAATAGAGTGTGCCCACATCTTTTGTTTCTCCCAAATAGATAATATGATGCTGTTTTTTGAAACCTTATTAGTGTGATTTAATGGGAAATAATTTCATAGTGAAATCGCTATATTGTAGTTATCTGCTTCAATTTTTACAAATTATTCTCCCCACTTTTATAATCTGATAAGAAATAGCATGTTGGGTACCAGTGTACATAAATATATATGCCAATATAATGAATTTGAAGGTTTTAGGATCAAAATTAAATTTTGGGGTTAAATTTGAGAGCAACCTGTTAAATCCTGACTGTAAACCACACAACAAAATCAAATGCTTCATGTTTTTAGCTGACTCTTTATTTTGTATTTTTGTTGTTACTTTCTTACCGAACGCCACCTGCGGGGTCGTGCTTTGGCGTTTCAGCAGGTCACTGTTCCGCGGGTTGAAGCGCAGTCACGGTTTCCTCAGAACCCTGGCATGTTGGCATCCTAAGGCCTTTCGTATATTTGGAACAAAACCACACTGCGTTCATCAACAGATACATATTTTCAGTTTTGTGTACTTGAATAATGAATTTCATACGGATCGATTTCCACGTTCTCGTTTGGAAACATCTTTTCCCCGAAATCACAATTCTTGCAGTTCGTCAGCAGGTGGCAGCCTACCATCAATGGATTTTTGCTGTCATCTTCGAGGTTGTCCTTCACAAACATTTGATGAAAGACATAGTCTGAAGAGGCTTTGTTGTAATTATTTGCAAAGAAGAGTTGTACCTTCAAGCTTTGCGAGTTGCAAAAGTGTTCTAGTATTATGGTATGCATTGAAATATGTGGAAAGTCACTCCATGCCTTGGACATATGAATTTGTTTTATCCAAAGGGTAAAAAAAGACCAGTAATGGCCTTAGCTGAAAAATAATGCTGGTGTGCTAGTTTAGACAATCTCAAAACCTAGAGTGTTACCGCCACTTGTCTGTTTCAGAGTCATTGTATCAAAAAGAATTGGTTGACACTCAACCATTTCAGGGCGTAGGATATGATCAAGAACCTATGGTGTTGAAGGAAGAAGCCCAGACGACAGTGAAGGCATTTGCCAAAAACAAGGCTCCAGGAACTGGCGGAACACCGATAGAGATGCTTCAACAAATGGAGGCCGTGCTGGAAGTGCTCACTTGTCTGTGCCAAGAAATTTGGAGGACAGCTACCTGGTCAACCGACTGGAAGGGATCCATATTTATGCCTATTCCAAAGAAAGGTGATCCAACAGAATGCCGAAATTATCGAACATTATAATTAATATCCCAGGCAAATAAAATTTTGCTGAAGCTAATTCAAAAATGGTTGCAGCAGTACATTGACAGGGAACTGCCAGAAGTTGAAGCCGGATTCGGAAGAGGACATGGAATGAGGGATGTCATTGCTGATGTCAGATGGAGCCTGGCTGAAAGCAGAGAATACCAGAAAGATGTTTACCTGTGTTTTAGTGACTATGCAAAGGCATTCAACTGTGTGGATCATAAAACATTATGGATAATATTGAGAAGAATGTGAATTCCTGAACACTTCACTGTGCTCATGAGGAACGTGTACATAGATCAAGAGGCAGTTGTTCTAACAGAACAAGGGGATACTGCGTGGTTTAAAATGAGGAAAGGTATGTGTCAGGGTTGTATCCTTTCACACTGCTTATTCAGTCAGTATGCTGAGGAAATAATCTGAGAAGCTGGACTATATGAAGAAGAACGCGGCATCAGAATTGGAGGAAGACTCATTAACAACGTGTGATATGCAGATGACACAACCTTGCTTGCTGAAAGCGAAGAGGACTTGAAGTACTTACTGATGAAGATCAAAGACTACAGCCTTCGTTATGGATTATGCCTCAACATAAAGAAAACAAAACTCCTCACAACTGGACCAGTAAGCAACATCATGATAAATGGAGAAAAGATTGAAATTGTCAAGGATTTCATTTAACTTGGATTCACAATCAACACCCATGGAAGCAGTGGTCAAGAAATCAAAAAACATATTGCATTGGGCAAATCTGCTGCAAAAGACCTCTTTGAAGTGTTGAAAAGCAAAGATGTCACTTTGAGGGCTAAGGTGCGTCTGACCCAAGCCAGGGTATTTTCAATTGCCTCATATGCATGTGAAAGCTAGACAATGAATACAAAGACTGAAGAAGAATTGATGCCTTTGAGTTATGGTGTTGGCAAAGAATACTGAATATATCATGGACCGCCAGAAGAACAAATAAATCTGTCTTGGAAGAAGTACAGCCAGAGTGCTCCTTAGAAGCAAGGATGGCAAGACTTCATCTCACTTTCTTTGGAAGTACTATCAAGAGGGATCAACCAGTCTTCGGAGAAGGATATCATGCTTGGTAAAGCAGAGGGTCCGCGAAAAAGAAGAAGACCCTCCACGTGATGGATTGACACGGTGGCTGCAACAATGGGCTCAAGTATAGCAATGACTGTGAGGACGGCACAGCACCGGGCAGTGTCTCGTTCTCTTGTACACAGGGTCGCTATGAGCCGGAACCGACTCGATGGCACCCAACAACAATGTGTAGTTTGTAGTAATTTGTTGGAACAAAGGTAAATAATAAGGATGGTGCAGGACTGGGCAGTGTTTTGTTCTGTTGTACCCGGGGTCGCTGAGTCGGAACTGACTTGAAGGCACCTAAAAACAAGAACAGAACTCAGTTAAGTGTTGGACACCTCCCACCTGCCACCATCACCTCGCTGCTTGTGATGCAAAGGATTAGAACAAAAAACGGTAAATTACTGTTTATCTCAAAACTGAATAGCAGTACCACTTTTCAAAGAGGATGAGCAGTGATAATATGCTAATATCTCAATGCTTAAAAATCGCAAATCAATACACGGAAACATGGAGTACTTAGCTATCTTTTAATCTACTCTTAGAAACACTAAGGGCTGAAGTAATTACCCTCTCCCCACGCCCCCTTCCCGCCCACTTCCTGACTCTAACCTTCATATTATTGTCCAAGTAACTCAAAAGCGTGTTAAGCAGCTGATGTTTGGTTAGAAAGTAAAGTTGTCACAAGATTATGATAGAACGCTTCAGTTCTGTTTAAACAGCATGCACCCTCTCCTCCCTCCTGGGAGCCCTTATCACACGTTTGTCCGAAAAACATTACCCCCCCGCCCTGTACTTTATAGTGTCCGCCACGTATCTTTTTATCTTGTGGTTGCTGTGCCTTTATATTTTGAGAAAAATTTCCAGTAACAGCTTCGATTTCCAGGGACAGAAACTTGAGCAAACGCCAGACTAGCAGGGGGCCATTATTCTGCTCTATAAATAAGTTTCCAAAAGAAAAACACACACACAGAAACCTGTGAATCAACATGTTTTGGCCTAATTGAGGGGAAAAGCAAGATAGATAAATTTTGAAATGCAAATGATCACGTTCTGTTATTTAAGTACAGTTTCTGCCAACTTTGTGATCTTAGATTTTTATAAAAGTCATAGTCATTTCAACAACGTATACTACCAAGGACGTCTAAATATTCGCAAGTTTCTACAGCAAAACTGAGAACTTTTTTTGAACAGTTGCCACTTTTTCATATTAAAGAAAACAAATCCACCAACAAAAAGACAAAAAGCATGGCACTTTCTCTGTCTACATCTGTGAGAAAGCCGGCACGTAAATGGCTGCAGCTGCAGGTCCATCAAGAGAGTCTTGAGAATATGAACTCACTGATCAAACTCGGCCCTGTTTTCAAAGCAGAAACCATTCCTTTTTGGTTCACTCTGTATCCTTAGATTCTCTACTGTGATTGTCTAGAAAGGTTTTATTTTAAATAAACATCAATTCATGGTAAATGGGTTCCTTTCATACCAGAGAAACACAGAACAGAGTTCAGGAA